TGGGGTCTCCACTGCACTTTTGGCTTTACTCTCACCAGTTTACACACTGCCCTCTCAAGGGCAGATGCTTGATCTCTAAGGCCTTTCTCTGAAATTTAAGTAGAAAGTTCTTTGATCTCAGAACTGCTATATTTTGCATTCCTTTAAAGGCAGCATCATATGATAACAGCAAAGTTGGCTGCTAGCTCAAGCAGTAGCCAATCTCCCTTAGATCATGGAAGCCACGGCTTCTGAGTGCACAGATGGTTGCATTTGTGGAAACATTTTCCTTTGTGACCCTGAATGAGCAGGATGCCCTAGGGCTGCCTTTCAAATAAAAAGTTTATACTTTTATACTCTTAACATTGCAAAGTTTGGGGTCTTGCTGTTTCCTGAGATGCCTCTAAGCCATCTTTCCTATTTTCCTCATGCAAAGTACTCAGTTTTTAAAAAAAAAAAATGGTAATTTTTGTATCAATCAAGCTCTTTCACTCCAGCTTTGCAAGCAGTTTCTTTCCAGTAAAACTGAAAACTTTTCAAATGGTATATTTTACTCCTGATTTTCAGTGTAAACCGGGCTAAAAGCTGCCAACAGTACCCATGCCATAGTCTTCATATTGATCTGCCTTGAAATATTTCTGCCAGATTAATTAGCCTATTTCACTTAGTCTTCTACAATGTCCCAGAACATAGCAAATGTAGAAAAAAATTATGCCAAACCATAACATGCATGACTTCTAGTCCAACTACCAATGGAGTCTGTGTACACAACTGAAGCCTTTTGAGCCTGGCCTTTACTGTTTTCATTTGAGTCAACATTCTTGTCTTATGTGCTCTGACTAGAAGCTCCTATCAAGCTTAGTTTACAGCATTGAGCTTTTCTAGCTCAAATCTCCAAACCTTTCCAAAACCATCCCACAAACCATTTCCAAAGGCTTCTGAACTACATGGCCAGGTGTTGTTATAGCAACAACCCCTTGCTTTATACCAAATCTTAGTCATTTCTCTCATCACTGAGATACAATATTTAACACTTACAACTCCAAGGCAGAGTGGTTTGTTTTGGCTCATCAGTTTTAGTTTATAGTCAGCAGACTAAAAAGCAAAATAGGAAGGCAAAAGGCAGATGAAAAGGTGCTCACCTGTCACACAGAGTAAAGTGAGAAATCAGGGGAGAAAGGCATATATCCTTCCAGGTTATGACTCCACTGACCCACCCCTTCCAACAAGGCCCCACCTTTTAACAGCACAGTAAGCTTTAAATTCTTTAATGGATTAATTCAGTCTTCTGATGATTAAGCACATTTCTCATTAAAATAAATAAAATGGGGTGAGGACTAATGGCTTTGCTTATTTCAATGACCTAAAGTCTGAGACATGATCCTAAGCAAGAATGATGTTCCCTCTTAGCCACAGTGGCACTAAGAAAGTTTGTAGAACACACAAAACTCTTGCTGATAGAACAGTTTAGGACAGTAACCAGGACCGTTTTTCAGATCTCCAAAAAGAAATACTGAATATAAGTAACACCAAGATGCTCATTCTCGGAGCTAACCATCAGTATATGGGTAGCTGCTTCGGGTCACAAACTACATATAAGGGAAGATATAAAAATAATATAAGTTAGATGAGCCTGATATAAACAAAGCTGCCTAAGATATGCCCTGAGGGTCTGGGCCAAGAAAACATGGTGACACTTGTGCCATAGCAGAGCTAAGTAGTGCTCCTTTGGGATAAGACAGGATCTGGATAGACCTTAAGAAAAAAAAAAAGAAGAAGAAGAAGAAACTGAGCTATCAAAACAAAATGTAAAGTAAACAATGAAACTATAGTTTTTGGATTATATCAAATATTTAAATTTTATCCAAAAAGTTAAAAAAGGAAAGACTTCTCATGACCTTTCATTATAGCTATTAAACTCACTCATTTTTCCTTCTATGGGACCAGAAAATGTTACCTCAAATATTCTCTACAGAAAAAATGAGAATGTGTCTATGCACGATTTTCTGTCAAAGACTTTTGTGGTTAAAGATACATGAACAATTGAGACTCAAGAGGCATTAAGCCATTAGATATTGGAAATTACTAAAATTCTCCTTGATTTTGATTTGACACATCATGCCTCCTATCCACTTAGATATGGCAGAGCACTGTATAATTTGCAGGGAACACTGTGTCAGGTTTGAGATTGATGACCATAACAAACCGAAAAATTAGTTTAACTTTTCTTGATTTTTAAGGAATAGGAGGGAAAGGGGCAATTAGAACGGGAAGGCAAAGTGTGGAAGATAATAGAGACTGAGATATGCTTTTCCTAGGCAGCAGGAGATGCTCATTATCTGATGGATGAGATCAGTGCAGGTAACTTAAAAATGTAATTCATCCCCTGAATGATTTCTTTAAAAGAGAATAATTACGTACTGTAGCCTACGCCACTGACTAAATTGACCAAATAACACAATTTTTGCCTTTTTTTGTGTTGGGCAGATAATCATTTTAAACATAAGTGAAAGCTGCAGTGCTAATTACAGCATGGTCTGAAAAGAACTCAAAGAATAACCAACTCCAGAACTGGATGTAGTGGAAGATGTGAGTAGAGATGTTTCCATACAATTCCACTGCACAAATGTGCCCCGTTCTCCCAGGAAAAAAAAAGTGTATTTATATAGTTTTATTTAAATAGTGATTAGGTAGTGGGCAAATGCAGCCATTTTTTACTATTTGGCAGGTTTGGCTTCTCCACTGAGTAAATGGGGACTGTGCAGGTTAGTGGCAGGAAAGAAGTGGGTTGAAAAGAGAAAAGCAGGATAGTCCAGTAGTAGATGTTTACGAAAAGTCTTTCACTCCTACAAGACAGTGTAACTCTGCATTGGGTCTCAAAAAGTAGAAAGCATGAAATATATTTTGTCTTGTTCTATGAACATATGAAGAAAGAAGTAGACCAAAATATACTAAGAGAGTGTGTCAGAGGTAAGTACAACCATGAAGAGCTGAGTTAAAAAAATATTTAAACAAGATCTAGCTATTTTTCACTAGACTTTAGTTGACAACTGAATGAAATTTAAATACTTCTCCTGTTTCCAAACTCCTCAGTCAATAATTCTAGGTAGAAATTAGAAAATTCACATTCCGTTGTATTTACTCATAGGCAAGCCCTCTCTAACAGAATTTTTGTTCTTTAAGTTTCCACTGTTCAACACAGTAACCATTGATCACGTGTGAAAATTGACCACATGAACTGATTATCAGTAGTTTTTCTTTGCTGTAATGAAACAAAAGTTTAGTGAAGAAAGGTTTGGGCTATACAAAAAATAGCATTAGTAAACCTGTCTCAGTGATATCCAGAGAAACAGGGAGGAATGCTTAGAAATTGTTATTTCTCAGTAAGGAATTTGTATAAACTTAAAATAATAAGCAGCAGAAAATAAGTGAGTAATAAACACTAAGTACTGAAAAGTTTGGAGACTAGACTTGTCTGTTGTTTTTGTTCATTGTCTTAGTCCATTTGAATTATATCACAAAATACTTACTATAAAGTGGATGGTTTACCAACAACAGAAATGTCATTCTAAGAGTCCTGGGGGCTGGGCAGTACAAGTTAAAGGTAAGGGTACATTCAATATCTGATGGGGGCCCTTTTTCTTCTTTATAACTAGTGACTTTTCACTTTGTCTTCAAGTGGTAGAAGGATAAACAAGCTCTTTGGGCCCCCTTCATACAGGTACTGACCTAATTAATGAAGGTCCTGCTTTAGTAATGAAATCATCCCTCAAAACTCCATCTCCTAACATCTTCACAGTGGGGGTAAGATTTCAACATATACATGTCAGAAGGATACAAACACTTATACCATAGATTTAAAAAAATAATTGAAAAAAATGGACATTGAGCTTTTGCAAATGTGAAGGAAACCAAGAGTTGGAAGGAACAGGAATAGGTGGGATAGGTAGGAGATAAAAAAGAATTAAGATGTGTTATGTACATGTACCAACTCCCCAGAATACATATAATCATTCTTACTACAAATATGTACCAAAAATGAATTAGAGTGGTAAAAATCAAGGATTCTCAAATGCTGTTCCAAGTACCCATAGTGGTCAGTGAAAAAATTCTAGAAATATAAGAATTATGGGGAAATTTTTTTACGACTTAATAGTTTGGTGCTAAAATTTCCAATTATTTATAAAAAATCATGTGATGGTAGATGGTACCTTTTGGATGTCTTTTCTTGGCAAAACTAAAATTTGATAACACCATAACTCATGTCAATTTAAATTGCTGCTGGAGAATAAAATTTTTAAAAAACTCTGAGAACCACAATTTAATTTACTTTTCATCTTAAAAATGAGAAAACTGAATAGTGGAAAAATTGAATAAGTCCCCAACTCACCTGTTTCCCTGACAAATTTCAAGTTTAGGAGGAACTGGACCCATATCTTTTTATCATATGCAGTCATTCTGACAGTCTTCACAAGCAAATCTAGTCCTGATAGACAATGATTGTAAAATGTCTATTCTATTACGGTCTTCAGTTTCAGTTTTCACTGTTATTTCGATAAGCCTGAGTCTTAAAGATATATGCTATTACTTGTCAAAAACTGTAACTTCAGAGGCATCGGAAGCCTTCTTCTGCTAAAATAAATGAATCTCCAGAGTCTTATATTTTGTGAAACAAATGTTAGAGATTTCAATATTATATGCTCAGTGGATGTTATGATTTGGATAAAAAATGACATCCCAAAACTTCATGCATCCATAGATAGGGCTTTTGTTTTTTTGTTTTTTGTTTTCCCATTAAGTTTGTTGGTACATTTAAAGCAAACAATACAGTTCCATTTATCATTAAGATCTTGTACATTTACATGATGTATCTTGGTTCTTATTTTCCCCCATACCCCTGCCCTCCCTTTACCCCCTCACCCTTCCCTATTTATAAAAACTTTTCCATTTTTTCATATTTTTTCTTTTCCCTTATTTCCTTTCTCCTTCCCTTCCACTTCCCCTTTAGCCATTTTCTTCCTAAAAATATGGAAAGCATCATGAATTTGCATGTCATTCTTGCACAGGGGTCATGCTAATCTCTGTGTCATCCCAATTTTAGTATATGTGCTGCTGAAGTAAGCACCATCGGTAGGGCTTTTGGAAGACAATTTGTTCATGAGGGTGTGATAGCTCAATAGGATGTTAGAAAGTAAGGTCTGGTCAAAAAAGATGGATCAATGGAACGTGAATTGGAAGAATACATCTCCATCCCCGGCACCTCTCTTATCTCTCTGCTTTCTGGACACCATGACATAAGGAGCCTTCCTTTGCCCACGCCCTTCCATTATACCATTTCTGTACTTAAGCCCACTGAACATAGACTGAAACTTCTGAAACTGTGAGCCAAAATAAACCTCTTGATGTTAAAGTTAAGGTTGTTAGATATTATATTCCAGCAATGACAAAAATGACTAAAACAGAGAAGTGGGCTGTTGGCATGTATAGACCTGAATGTATATACCTGGTTTGTGAGTACAGAGCCTTTGGAAGTGGGATAACGTTGGATTGGTTTGGAGATGCTTGCTGGAAAAGACCTAGAATGCTGTAAATCAAGCTTGATGAGTGATTCTTGTCAGAGCTCAGAAACCAAAAAGTTTATAAAAATGTGAACGGATGAGGCTCAATAGGATTCAGTTAGATCAAAGACTCCATTGACTTTTTCACCTGAGATCATATGTGTTATGCTCTGGTAAAAAAAATTTGTCTACATTTTGCTCATGTCCCAAGACTTTATGGGACTTTGTAGGAGACTGATATTAAAGGGAGTGGCGTAATTGATCTATTGGAGGAAATATCAAGGTGGGCTAATGTTGAAGCAGTTATATGAGTACTGTTGATAACTACTAGTCATACTTACTCTGAGAAACAAGACCAAAAAGCAGAGACTCATGATTTGAAAAAAATATTTTCTAGAGATCAAAAAGAGAGTGCCTATAATGTTGGGGGTCTGTAAAATTTTGACATGGGTGAACCTAGTTGCTCAAAATATTAACTTTAAGAAGAAGCCAAGTTGAGCTGGGATTTGGCTCAGTGGTTCCACTGCCTGCCTCACAAGCAGGAGGTCACAAGTTAGATCTCTGGTACAAAAAAAAAAAAAAAAAAAAA